GACAACTCATTTTTGCTCCCAGCAGCCTTTTCCTTCCTTCCCTCCTTTTTTTTTTTTTTTTAATTATTTCCACCCCTTCCTTTCCCGTCCTGTGCAACTACCCCCCTTTTTTTCTTTGTTTTTTTTTCCTGTTGTTTCTTTCCTTAGCCTGGCTGGACCCCAGGGACAGACGCACAACAACTGAAAACGTTTGGGTCGCAATCCGATATAAGTATATGTGTATTATACAATGTAAGGGGGAATGATAAGGCCAAAAAGCGGGGGAAGCACAACGGACAACAAAAACTATAAATACAAAAAGCCCGGAAAAGTAAATAATATCACTTTGGAGGAGTGATTCCCCGCAAGCAGAAAAATATAAATATATATATATTGTGTGTTTTATAAAATGTTTCTATCGCTATGGAGTCAACTCCAATTGTTTTTCGACTCACCCACTTAAGCAACAACAACTACAAAAAAAAAAAAAAAAAAAAAAAAAAAACACCTCAAAATATACAAAAATTATCCCCTCCTTCCCTCCTCTTTTATTTATTTTTTTTTTTTTCTTTTATTTCCTTTTTTTTTTTTTTTTCAGATTTCTTTTCCTCCTTTTCCAAAAGCCTCCCTTCCGTTGCTTCCTTTTTTTTTTTTTTTTTTGTGTGTGTGTTTTGTGTGTGTGTGCCTCTCGCTGCTGCCTTAGCTTTGTCTTATTTCTTGTTTGTTTGTTTGTTTGTTTCCGTACTTGCCTTGAAATTTGGTTTCCCCTGCCTTCCTTTGAAACGACAATGATGGATGAGTTTCGGCTTCAATGCACAGACACAAACAGAAACCCTGCAAGAGAGGCGAGAAATAACAACAACAGCAACAAAAAAAAAAAAGAGTGCGCAGCAGGTGGAGTCGCAAGACAAACAACAGAAGAACTCAACCAGCGGTCACAAGAGACAGGCATGTGGAAAACACCGCCCAGACCCACCGAGAAAAGACATTCTCACAGATGGAAAAGCACAAAAGTAGAAGAAACAAAAAAAAAAACAAAAAAGAAACATCTCGACGAAGTTGGAGATTCCTCAACCACACACGTACGTGGAAAGAGCATCCCAATCCCACTTTTCTCCTCTCCTCTCCTTTTCCCCTCTACTTGAGAGGAATAAAGCGAGAGGAGTGCGTTGCACCAACACCAGGACGGCCGTGGATAACGGGCTTGTACGTCATAGAGAACTCGCCAAGGTAGTGTCCAATCATCTCGCCCTTGATCTCCACCGCGTTGAACTGACGGCCGTTGTAGATGCCGACAACGGAACCCACCATTTCAGGTGTGATGACAACATCACGAAGGTGTGTCTTCACGGCTCTCGGCTTCTCACCTGCCTTCACGTCCTTCTTCGCCTCGCGCAGGCGCTTCAGGAGCACGGGAGCACGGCGGTTAGCGTGGCGGTTCATGTGGCGACGGGCGCGGGCGTGAACCAGGGTCTTGAACTCCTCCTCCGAGAGGGCCAGCAGCGGGTCAATCTCAAGCCCACGGTACGTGAACTTGTGGAACGTGCGCTCCTTCTTGAGCTGCTCGTAGCGCTCCTGCGTGATGTTGGAAGTCATACTGCTTCTCCGTCTTCAAAAGTGTCCACACAGAGAGTAAAAAAAAAAAGAAAAAAAAAAAGAATCGTTCTTACAAGCAGAACAAAATCATGAATAAATAAACCCAGAAGAACGCAGGTAAAATAACAAATTAAAAAAAAATAAAAAAAGTAAAAATAAAAATAAAGCAAAAATAAAAATAAAAATGAAACATCGTTGTGTACGATAATAATAATAATAATAATAACATACATATATAAATAAATAAATAAAAGGGATTTTAGTGTACATTTGTATCGGTGCATGACTGGTCCAACAACCACAGCGAGCACACAACAGCGAAAAAAAAAAAAAAAAAAGCAACTCATGTGTGAAGTACCAAAAAAGGAAAAAAAAAAAACTTTTTCCTTCTTTTTTTTTTTTTTACATAATTCCGCATTAAGATGACTTGTCGGCTGAGAGCTCCTCGTCAAGAGATCCAGAAACATCGGTGGATCTTCCTGAAAAATGGACACGCTCTCCCTGAAAGATTCCATCTGAAAAAATGGCTTCAGGAAACTTCAGAACCGATTGCCGAAGGGTAGCACAAAAACC